CCTGCCTTAGGCACAAAGCCAGCTGGGCAACCTTGGGCCAGTTACTCTCTCAGCCCTAGAAAAGGGGCAATGGCAAATCAGTTCTGAAAAACTTTGCCAAGAAAACTGCAGGGACTGTCTCTGAAAATCAGACACAATTGAAGAAAAAAATGTTTATTTTAAAACCAGTCAGCACACTAATTCAGTTTGTGGTCAGCTTGTTTAGTAATTCACTGGAAGGTGTGCTGGAACTCTTGTTTGTATATAAGACAATTTAGATAAAGTGGGAGCGGGAGGAAGAAAAGGGAATATATCAACCAAGTTTTTGTTCAAGATTAAAAAGAGCAATAACCCTAAATAGGGTTGCCAGGTCTGCTTCCAAAAAATAGCGGACAAGCGGGGGGGGGGTGTTAAGTAGTAAAAAAAGTAGACTGTACAGCTTTAGATTACGTACCATTTCATCATAAAGCTTTTGAATAAAAAAAATGTCCCCTATTTTGTGAAAAAAAATAGTGAACATAATGTGAAAAAAGTGGACTGTCCACTCAAATAGTGGACACCTGGCAACCCTAACCCTAAATCTGATTTAGCATTACATTAGGAAGTTCCTCTGACAGAGAAAATTAATACAGAGAGACAGAATTTATGGTGAATTGTTGTTTTGTACTAGTTCAGGGTTATAATTCAATGACAGTTGTGCAACAACTGTTACCACCTTTAAAATACAACATATAGAGAGAGCTATTTACCCAAGAAGTAAAGAACTCTGAAACTGTTTCCAGGACTGGGCATTGTGTAAAGCAGGGAAGGACCATTTTGTGATGCTCATATATCCTATTATCAAATAACAATAGTGCAATTTCAACAGGATTTTAGGGGGGAGAGCGTTTGGAGTCAGCAGAATATGAAGATAGCTGCAGATCAGCTTTAAATTGCTTTTAAAGATTAATGGTGATATAAAACACACAGTGCACAGTGCAGACTCTCAGGAGCTCTGAAGAAGTCCAAAACTGATGATTACCCAGTTTTGCCTGTTGGTTCCTTGCTGGGACCATCTGCTGCAGTTATTTTCCCCATCTCGACGGGGACGCCAGGATGTAACGTATCTGTGGTAATTCCAGAAAGCTTCACAGCTTCAGCTACAATTCCCTGCCCGGAAGGGAGGCCTTCACTCGCCTCATGGTATTCACTCTCAGTGCTTTCATTGTCTGAAATGTTCTCAGCTGTGCTGGAATCCTCAGAGGAGGTAGACTCATACCTGGAACAACACAAGGTTGAGAAACAAGCCAAAAAAAGCCTGAGAAGCTATTCTAGATTCTGTTCAGAACAGAGAGACACTATAGCAAATCCTGGCTATGTGCTACCACTGTACTTCAGAATGGAGAAGTTTAGGCTTCAAAGAAGGAACTAGCAATCCATAAAATAGAAGGAAAACTAGAGGAAGCAGATCCAAAGATTGAGGACCTAAAGGAAGAAACCAACCAACAGATCCAGACAACTGAAGAACTAGAAGACAGAGCGACAATATCGGAAATGGGAAAGACATCTTACCAATCAAGAATTCAGGACATATTCAAGGAAAAGGAAGAAGAACTGATTGAATGGAAGATAGAGCTGTTAGGAGAACTGTGGGGAATTGGAGAAGGAGGGAGGCTGTTTAATGAATATCAATAGGTTTGTTCTTCCAAAAATACTTTAACCAAATGGTCTTTCTTATTCCAAACAATATACACAAAAACAGAGGAAAAATTACTTGATGATTTAAATGCATTCACTTGGAAAGTTAGCTGGCAAAGGAAGAAAGCTAGAGTAAGGCTGCAGAAAATAGACGTTTTGATCTATTAGATAGGATATTATATTATTAACTAGATGTTTGAATATGGAGAATAGATAATTGCTAGAAATAGAAATACTATTATAACTAGAAAGATAAGATTTGTAACTAGAATATTAGATTTTGGTATAAAAAGGGTAACAGGAAAACACTAAGAAGTTTGAATAAGGGAAGCTTTTGGTTACCCAAATATAACTTACTTTGAAATTATAAACAATAGAGACATTTTGAACACTGATGGGAAATTAAAACTAAAAAAAAGCAAAAACAGGATACTGATTGAACATATGGATGTTAAGTGCAAATGCAATTAAGATATGTTTTGGTTAGAAAACTAATCTAAAACTGATATTATTGATATTATGAGAAAAATGTAACAAAGATGTTGATATTCAATTGTATATTTACTAATAACAATAAAAATTGTATTTGTGGGAAATACAGGTACTACCGGAAGAAGAGAGGAAACATTTGATGGTGCAATATTGGATCTAGATTGAAGAAGTTAATATACACCACTGAATTACTAATGGACCCAGACAACACGTTGTCTATTAAGTACTTGATTGTAAAACTAGGAAATTAATAAAATATTTATAAAAAAAAGAATGGAGAACTTCAGAGATGCCAGGTGATTTGGGATCTTGCAGGCCACAATGGAAACCTGTCTTGGTACAAATGGCAACTTACAATAAAAGCAGCAAGGGTAAGTAGAGCTCCATCCCAGTGATGGATTATGATAGAACTCCTAGGCAAACTCTGACAAAATTGTTCAGTTATTGGGTTTCTTTGAGGTGAAGATGATATATTGCTTCTCTGAACTCCAAATTAAAGGTTACAGAAGCAAACAAGATAGGAGTCTGCGGCTATGGACCTGTATGCCTTTGCTTCCTCAATTAAGGAATTGAGGAATGAACTTAGGAATTGAGGAATGAATTGGGAACTTCCCATTCTCTTTATAATTCTGAAACTGAGATTTACCCTCCATTGACACCCACAAAGTGGAGGCTCTTCTTCCTAGTTAGTATTTCTGTAGGTTCTTCCTTCTTCTTCATAATTGACGGGATCCCTGCAGTGGATGAAACTATGGAGAAACAAAGGAAGGTAGTAACATCAATTTGTCAAAGGATTCCATGGCACCTTTCTCCACCCCACTTTCTTACCTTGATCCTCTTCCTCCTTCTGCACATCCAATTTAGGGTCTTCAGAGAGGCAAGGAACTACTTGTTCTCCTTGGAGGGAGTCAAGAAGTGAATATTCAGTTTTCTGCAGGGATTCTTCAGGTTCTGAAATAGGAGAGTGGCAACAGATTACTGCCCCTTGGACGTCTTTTTGATTATGAAGTCTAAATATTGCTGTTTTGTGGGCTCACATTAAGGAATGCAATATTGTTCCATGTATGCAATAGAATACATGGCTTGATTACAACCTGGCCAAGTGCCATATAATAACTTAATATTCCAAGCCTGGAAAACAGGGAACAGATAGTCCTCAACATACAACCACCACTGAGCCGAAAACTTCCATTGCTAAGCAAGACAGTTGTTAAATGGGTTTTGCCCAACTTTACAAGCTTTATTGCCACAATTGTTAAGTGAATCACTGCAGTTGTTTAGTTAGTAACACAGTTGTTAAGTGAATCTGGCTTCCCTATTGATATTGCTTGTCAGCAAGTCGCAAAAGGTGATTACATGGCCCTGGGACACTGCAACTGTCATAAATACATGCGAGTTGACAAGAGTCCAAATTTTGATCAAATGACCACGGGGTTGCTGCAATGGACATAAGTGTGAAAAATGGTGATAAAGTCGCTTTTTTCAGTGCTGTTGAAACTTCAAATGGTTATTAAACAAATGGTTGTAAGATGAAGGCTACCTTTATGGAGCTTTTGTTTGTACAGAAGCAATATTCCCTCACTGTATTAAGCTATGATTTTTTTTACCAATATTCACAAAGTCACAACTCTTCATTCTTACCAATGGCTGCTGAGGAGCTTGCACAACCACAATCATATAAGGTCAGCAAAATCAGGCTGCTTAGTATCCCATCCAAATACCCTCTGCCATGGGATACTCCCTGCTATTGCCTTTTTTTCAAGACAGTTGGTGCATTTCCAAATTAAACTTGACTGCAGCCACAAGAAAGCTTACAAAGCCCACTAGGGGCCAAGTATTGAAAATCAATCTGGGAGACTGAAGTTTTGCTTAAAGATAGGGCAGTTCTCCTTCCTCCTTTTTTAAAAATTAATTTGCTAATATAAATAATAATTTTAACTGTATCTTGGGGGATGTCAAGGAAAGTATTCATGGACACATTCACTCAAGCGTCATGCTGGAGACCCTGGATGTAATGCTACTTAAGTATATGGTGTTTGTTTTATTTACTGTATTTTACTTACTCATTCAGTCAGGTTCTTGGTCAATTTCCCTCCTTAAAAACCATTCTCTAAATGCATAAGGTTGCTTTGCTGCATAATTTAGGGGTGACATGATAGCAGTATTCCAGTATTTGAGGGGCTGCCACAAAGAAGAGGGGGTCAAATTATTCTCCAAAGCACCAGAAGGCAGGACAAGAAAGAATGGATGGAAACTAATCAAGGAGAGAAGCAACTTGGAATTAAGGAGAAACTTCCTAACAGTGAGGACAATTAACCAGTGGAACAGCTTGCTTTCAGAAGTTGTATGTGCTTCATCACTGGGGGGTTTTAAGAAAAGACTGGACAGCCACCTATCCAAAATGGTATAGGGTCTCTTGCTTAAGCAAAGGGTTGGACTAGAAGACCTCCAAGGTCCCTTCCTGCTCTATTCTGATTGATTGATATCTAGAAGATGGTTATAAGAAGGCCAACTGTTTGGGAAACCCAGAGGAAAGATGTAGGGTTATGTCAGGAGGGCACTATTCCTACCCAAAACCTACACCTTTCCACACACTTAAATAATTTTTTGCATATTTCTCTGATGTTACCAATTGTTTGGTATATATTTCTCTATGTGAAATGTACTATCATATTTGATCTTCCTTAAAATGTCCTTACCATGTTTGGGTTCAAAATAGAGGTTTCATAGATTTTTGATCAAAGGAAGATAGATAATGGTGGACTCTCTCCAGTAACTTCCCTGTTTATGATATCTCTTTCCTTAGAGACATTATAAAAAAAAATTACCACTGCTTCCCAGCAGCTCACTTGAAATTATGGAAGCCATCATATCCAAATATTTATTTCCAGAAGGATGAAATTTCTGATACTGTCTTGCTATTCTAGGTTTATTCTGGGAAATTCACAGAGTATTTTAAAACTGCTTTTTTCTTCTGCTCCTACTATAAATTGCAGCAAAAAAGTCAATTCCTTCCATGCATGCTTCTTTTAAGATTAGAGCTGTGTGGGAAAATAGTTGAATTTTACCATAAATTTGCAGGCCAGGCATTAACATTTTCCCCAGCTTTGACAACAAGGGATTCTGCCATAAATTTTTATCTCTCTAAAGATTATGAAAATCCTGCCAAGCCTTTTGTCCTGACTATTTTTAATAGATCCAGATATAAACCAACTTTAATTTAATACAGTGCTATATCATGTGTCTTTTTAAACATTATGTGTATGAATTGAAAGTATAGTCATTACATATCTTACCTTTTATAAGATAAACTTTTTACAGGATAAGATTCCAATTAAAGGCAATAGATAAGCAAAATATCCACCCCTGCCCCAGAAGTGAGGCAGGCTCCCACTCTCTGGGCCTTTCAGAAGAATTTGAAGACCTGGCTCTGCTGACTTGCTTGGGACTTGGAGAGGAGTAGCAACCTTGGAGTTGGCTAACTACCTTGAAGGGCCCCCCACTTTTAACTTTAATTTATTCTTGTTTTCCCTGCCTCTTATAGAATAGAATAGAATAGAATAGAATAGAATAGAATAGAATAGAAGGGACCTTGGAGGTCTTCTAGTCCAGCCCCCTGCACAAGCAGGAGGTCCTATACTATCTGATGATTGTCCAGTCTCTTTTTAAAAACTTCCAGCGATGAAGCGCCCATGATTTCTGGGGGTAAGCTGTTCCATTGGTTGATTGTCCTCACTGTCAGGAAGTTTCTCCTTAATTCCAGGTTGCTTCTCTCCTTGATCAGCTTCCAACCATTGTTTCTTGTCCTTCCCTTTGGTGCTCTGGTGAACAACCTGTCCCCCTCTGCCTTGTGGCAGCCCCTCAGATACTGGAACACTGCTATCATGTCTCCCCTATTTCTTCTTTTCTTTAGACTGGTCAAACCCAATTTCTGCAGCCATTCTTCATACGTTTTGGTCTCCAGGCCTTTGATCATCTTAGTTGCTCTTCTCTGAATTTTTTCCAGTCTCTCAACATCTTTCTTGTGGTATGGTGACCAAAATTGGTTGCAGTATTCCAGGTGTGATCTTACTAGGGTTTTATAAGTGGTACTAATACTTTGTGTGATCTTGATTCTATGCCTCTGTTTATACAACCCAAGATTGTATTAGCTTTTTTGGGTGCTTCTGCACACTGCTGGCTCATAGTTAAGTGATCGTCCACCAGGACGTCAAGGTCCCTCTCACAGTTACTGCCTCCAAGCCAGGCCTTGCCCAATCTGTATTTGTTCCTTTGATTTTTCCTGCCTAAGTGTAAGACTTTGCTTTTCTCCACATTGAAACTCATTTTGTTGGATAGGGCCCATTGTTCAAGTCTGTCAAGATCTTTTTATAAATATATGATATTTATATGGTTTTTAAATTTTTAATTGTACACTGCTCAGAGTCGCTCTGTAAATGGATAAGCAGTCTCTAAATTTGATAATTAAAAGAATAGAATAAAATATTGTAATGCACCCTTGGTTGAGAAAGTGAAAAGAAAGGTGCATTACCTCATGGCAAAATCCTGTTTCCAGTGCAGCCTATGGCTGGAACCTGGGCTGTTAGCAAATGAAACAAGGACATGGCTATGTATATTTAACCACTGGCTAAAGATTAATTTTTAACTACAAGTTTTGACTTCTCTTATTTTATTCAGTCTGTCTTTTCAATATACTGTGCCTACCGAATTGAAGGTAAAATCCATAAATAGGGCTTTATGCAGATGTATTGCTGACACTGGGACAAGAAGAGATCATGGCAACTCTTGAACAAAGAATCCTTGACAAGGAATTGCAAAATGAATACAGTAGAAAACCAGCTGATAGGAAATGGGGCCACAGCAAGACCTGTTGCAAAGTTTACATTTGTATTATTAATGTCAAATTAACTTTGGGCTGATTTTTTACTGTTCAGGTAGTCCTCAAGTTACGACAATTGGGCCCAAAATTTCTGTTGCTAAATGAGACATTTGTTAAGTGAATTTTGCCCCATTTTATGACTTTTCTTGCCACAATGGTTAAGTGAATCATTGCATTGGTTAAGCTAGTAACATGATTGTTAAGTGAATCTGGCTTCCCCATTGATTTTGTTTGTCAGAAGTTCTCAAAAGCTGATCTCATGACTCCAGGACACTGTGACTGTCATAAACATGAATCAGTTGCCAAGTGTCTGAATTTTGAGATCACCTGACCATGGGGATGCTGCAATGGCCATGTGAAAAACAGTCATAAGTCATTATTTCAGTGCCATTGTAATTTCAAACTGTCACTAAACGAACTGTTGTAAGTCAAGGACTACCTATACCACATAGTACTAGAGAGTTAAAGCATTTTTATTTTATTTTACTGTTTAGTTAATATTTTTCTTCTTCTTTACTCTTTCATTTCTCTGTCTTATTGTCTTGATATATACAGTATATCTGCAACCGATAATAAAGTAACTGAATATCTTGTCTGGATAAATGAGTTCTGTTCCCCTGAAAGCAAATCAAGGATAGATTACTTTCCTTGTTCCTTACCTCTTGTTTCTTTATTTCCATCCCCATCCTCCTCTGTGTTGACAATGCTGATCTTTTTCACAGAGTGAAAGGTGGTGGCTGTGTTTGCTGCTCCAGCATGAATTGGGAAAGTGGTTTCCATCATCTCACTGCTGTGGTATGTGGCACAAAGTGGTAACTGAACTTTCTCAGAGACTGAATCTTTGTCTGCTGAAGGCCTGAGGCTGGCATAGGGCTCCTTGCTCTCCAGGAGCTGTGCCCTCTGAGGCCCAGTAGCTCTGCTGGCTGCGATCTCTGGCTCCCTTTCCACTTGGACAACTTTGATTGCATCAACCCGAATGGGGGCATTCCACTGCTGTGCACTTTCTCCCATTGCTTCCCATTCTGTCAGGCCCTCATCTCTTGTTGAAGTTTCTTTGTCTTTCTTCTCCCTGCCCTGCTGCTCCAGTTTCTGATGGGCAGCTTGGAGATCTTGGAGTGCTCTCTTCAGTTGTGTTTCTAACACAGCAATCTTGGTGGATAGGGACTGAATAACTTGGCATTGCTCCTCCACTTCTGGGCAAGGTAAGCCCAACTCCTCCTCCTTGACTGCTACCCCTATATCACATCTTCCCATGTCCACATTCTCTTCTCCATCTTCAACTGTCCTTCCCACACCCACTGACCTCACTTCCTTCTTATCCAATTTATCCTTTATGTCAGGTCTGGTACTGCTGTCCTCTATATTTCCACCTGCCCCCTCTTCAGGGATGTCTATGTAGAGCTCCCCTCGTGATTTGCCCTTGCCAAATCCTCCTGGGTGCCCCAAGAACTTCTGGCTTTTAAGCTGAACACTTAGCTGCCGTTTCTCTTCCTGTAGCACTGAGATCTTCACCTGAAGGACTGGGATCATCTTGACCTGTTCTTCCAATTGGCGCAACTTCTTCAAGGCCACAGACATCTGCTCACGAACATATTGAAGATGTCCTGGAGTTGGTGAGACAGGAGTGGACAACCCAGAACCAATTGGTGTGAATTGTCCAGGAGCACCTTGCCGTGAGCCATTGTAAGAAGTTTGATGTGAGATACTCTGGCTTCCAACCAAAGAACTTGTTGATCCAGATACACTGCTATGGAGACTTCCTAGACTACTTGCTGTGGGGGTTTTCCCATCTAGGTCTGCCTGGTCTTCTAACTTCTTTCTAGCATCCAGCAAAGTTTTCTCCACACGGGCATTGACACTGCTGTGAATTGCATTAGTGTACTGTGGGTAGAAGCTACGGCCACAATAAGAATAGGAGGAATGGCGACTGTCCATACTGGCATTGGAACAGAGGGACTCAGTGGATGTCCACCATGAACCAGTGTAGCCATAGCCCCGAGGCAATGAGCTGTAGCGTGGTCGGCGATGAATTGGAATGCGCTTAATAGTGTGGCCTTTCTCAATGTCATCCACATACTTGAGAAAGTCCAGATCAAGGCGGTAGCCATAAGGAGTCTCCACTGAGTAAGTTAAGTCTTGCTCCTTCCCATGGAAGATTGTAGTAGAGGTGGGATTGACCTTTCCTTCAAAACACAAAAGAGATAGATCAGCTTAGAACACTTTTCAGTCAGGGTTGAGGATGTGCATGAAAGGACTGACCACTGGGATCACCATCACTTAGTTGAATAATGACTGTTTTGCATATCATTGCATGTATTGGCTGATCTCAGTATAGACAGAGGTAGTCATAGACCTAGCTCCAATTGTCTCCTACTTCCATTCTGTGAGAGAGAGAAATTAGCTTAGAATCCACTGTATTTTTTTAAATGCCTATTGCATCAAAACAGCTCCCCTCAAACAAGGGGGGACTAGTTTAAATCAAATAGAGTACTTGTAACCAGTAAATAGGAACTCTACATGTTTCCCAATTTTGCATTATTTGGATTTGATTGCCAAACCAACAAGCCTCATTGGTTGATTGATCGACTGATTGATTGCAAAGCTACATCATAAAGAGTTTGATGCCCACTCTGGCAAGCCAAACCTCCATTTTCCTTAGCTTCTTGTAGCATTTTCAATTTAATTCTAGCTTTTATATTATCAAGCATCTATATTAACATAGGTAAAAGAATGGATAACTCTCAGAAACAAAAGGTTGTTATATTTGGAGGGACATGACTTACAACTTGGTTAGCATGCCTTTTTATGGTATGGGAAAAATAAAATGCATAAGTATTTTCAGAACCACTATATAAGAAACATATTACTATTATACTATGATGCGGTGGTTTTAACACTGGTTAGTGATTGGCTTAATTTAACAAATAAGAGTATACTTCATCTTGAGGGATGGGACTTATTATATGGGTGGCATGCATACCTAATTTATAATAAAAAAGTTGACAAGGTTTTTAAATCTCATATTTTAAGAAATGCCTTACTGCGTGTCTGGAAAAAATATTATCATAAGTTAAATTACAAAATACCAATTTGGGGGATTCCTGGACACGCGATAGAGGGGGTATCTACAGTATGGGTGTGAATTTGGATAGGATTTCTTATAACGAATTACTTAAATTGGTAGGGAATGATTGGCAATTAAAATTGTTAGCTGAGTTAAAGCAAGAAAATATTGTACAGTCTTGGTTTCAATATACTCAATTGTTGGTTAGGTGGAAGTTAGATCAAAAGGTTGGTATTAAATTAATGGAGAGAATTTGGTAAAACAGATTAAAGATCAAAATCGAGCGCATATAAAGAGAATTTATAACGCTTTAATAGAATTGGATTCGGAAATGGAATTAGTTAAAGATTGTATGGTAAAGTGGGCCCAAAATATTCAAGAACCGATTCCATTGGATATATGGGAGGTACGGTAATTTGGGTTAGGAATGTAAAATTTACTCAGGCCCAAAATTTAAGAGAAAATTTTTACAAAATATTTTTTAGATGGCATCTGGATCCTAAAAAGTTGTCTTGTATGTATTCTAATTTACAGCCCAAATGTTGGAGATGTGGTAGTTTGGATGCTATTTATTTCTATATCTGGTTGACTTGTAGAAATATAAAAGCTTTTTGGATTAAGATTTGGTGGAACATTCAAAAGATTTTTAAGAGAAAGATAAAGTTTACTCCACAATTATTTTTATTGGGTGTTATTACAGATTGTGATACTAAAGAAACTAATTTGATGTTGAATTTGATAACAGCTGCAAGGTTATTGGTAGGGCAATATTGGAAGAAGGATTGCNGCTTGCCTACTATAGAAGAATGGATGCTTAAAGTGTCAAATTTAGCAGAAATGGCTGAGATCTCTGCTTATTTGAAGGATCATTCACAAGAAAGATACATTTCGGTTTGGAGAAGATGGATAGATTATATTCAGAATAAATATGGGACTAAAAAGTTCCATTTAGCTTATGAGTAAATTTTAGAGTATTATTATTATTATTATTATTAATAGTTTATTATAGTGGAATCTTTATTAGTTTCAATTATATGATATTATTATTATTTTAGTATTAGTATTGTTTAACAATTTGGATATTGTACTATTTAATATTTATGATATTAATTTGTTTATGTTTTTATTATTATTATGTTTACTTTTAATTTGTTTATATTTATGCTAAAGGGAGTTAAAGCGCATTATAGATTTGGTTATTTATATAGTTGGTTAATGTTAGTTAGATTATGATTATTATATTTGTAACCCTGTATTCAGCTCTGGGAAGTGGGGGAGGGAGGGGGGGCTAGGGGGGGTTGGTTTTGGGGTTTATATTGTAACTGTTATAAAACTTTTCAATAAAAAAAAAGAAAGAAACATATTACTATTAACATGGGAAAAAATAAAATGTAAAATATATTTGAAAATACCAGGATAGCTTTCAACAACAGAAGCATTTATACATCCAAATTTAGTTAACTTTGAGAAAATATGGACATATAGAGATATTCTAAATTCTGAAGGGAATTTAAAATCTAAGCAAGAGATGGAAAATCAGGGTGTAGATTTATCATGGTGGACATACTTATTAATGCAGGTTAGATATGATAAAGATGTCAAACTGTATGGATTTTATAAAGAGCAGACCTTGTTTGATCAGACATTATTAACCTCTAATGAGAAACTACTTAAGAAAATTTATAAATTTTATTGAATTTGAAAATGGAAGATGAACAAGTTAAAGAAAAAATGATAACATGGGCAAAGAACTTTGGATATAACATAGAATTAGAAAAATGGCAAAACATGTGGGAAAGAAATTATAAACTGACAATGGCAGCTTCTTATGAAGAAAATTTATATAAAATGTTTTATAGATGGCACTTGCCACCAGCAAGATTGGCAAAAATGTTTTAAAATATGTCAGATAGATGTTGGAAATGTAAATATAAGTCAGGTACTTATTATCATGTGTGGTGGACATGTGGTGAAGCAAAGAGGTACTGGAAAAAATATATATTTGGCTAGAAAAGATATTGGGAAAACATGTAGATTTTAAACCTGAACTTTTTTTATTAGGTATTATGCCAGAAAAGATTGATAAACAAAGTATATATTTGATTTTACATGTGATAACAGTGGCAAGAATCATATTTGCACAATATTGGAAAAAGGAAGAATTACCATCAAAAGAATAAATACCGTATTTTTCGCACCATAAGACGCACCTGACGCACATAGTTTTTAGACGAGGAAAACAAGAAAAAAAATATTCTATCTAAAATGAAGATAACACTGCATATATCCTTTTTTACCTTTAATATATATATGTGTGTGTGTGTGTGTGTGTGTGTCTGTGTGTGTCTGTGTCTGTGTGTGTATATATAAAATAAAGGTAAAAAGATATACCGTATGCAGAGTTCTCTTCATTTTAGATGTCAAAAGGGTCTCTCTGTCTCTCTCTTTCTCTTCTCTTTCTCTTTCCTTTTTTCGTTCTTCTTTTTCTCTCTTTCCTCTCCCCCTTTATCTTTCTCTCTTTCCTCTCTTTCCCTCTTTCCTCTTTTTCACTTTGTCTGTCTCTCTTTCTCTTTCCTCTCTCTTTCTCTTCTTTCCTCTCTTTTCTCAATCTTTTTTCTCTTTCCTCTTTTTCTCTTTCCTCTCCCCCTTTCTTTCTCTTTCCTCTCTTTCTCTCTTTCCTCTCCCTTTCTCTCCCTCTTTCCTCTTTTTCTCTTTCCTCTCCCCCTTTCCTCTCCCTTTCTCTCTTTCTCTTTCCTCTTTCTCTCTTTCCTCTCTCTTCTCTTTCCTCTTTTTCTCTTTCTCTTTCCTCTTTTTCTCTTTCTTTCCTCTCCTTTTTCTCTTTCCTTTCTCTCTTTCCTCTAACTTTCTCTTTCTGTTTCTTTCTCTCTTTCCTCTTTCTTCCTCTTTCCTTTAACTTTCTCTCTTTCCTCTCTTTCCTCTTTCTTCCTCTTTCCTTTAACTTTCTCTCTCTCTTTCCTCTCTCTTTCTTTCTGTCTCTGTCTGTCCCTGTCTCTCTTTCTCTCTTTCTCTTCCTCTTTCCTCTAACTTTCTCTCTCTTTCCTCTCTTTCTCTTTCTCTGTCTTTCTCTTTCCTCTTTCTCTTTCCTCTCTCTTTCTCTTTCCTCTTTCTCTCTTTCTCTCTTTCTCTTTCCTCTTCTCTTTCTTTCCTTTCTTTCCTCTTTCTCTCTCTTTCCTCTTTCTCTTTCCTCTTTCTCTCTCCTCTCTCTTTCTCTCTTTCTCTTTCCTCTTTCCTCTTTCCACTCTTTCTCTTTCCCTCTCTTTCCTCTCTCTTTCTCTTCTCTTTCTCTTTCCTTTTCTTTCCTCTTTTTCTCTTTCCTCTCCCCTTTCTTTCTTTCTCTTTCTTTCCTCTCTCTTTCCCTCTTTCCTCTCTTTTTCTCTCTTTCTGTCTCTTTCTCTTTCCCTCTTTCCTCTCTCTTTCTCTTTCCTCTTTCTCTCTTTCCTCTTTCCTTTCTCTTTCCTCTCTCTTTCTCTTCTCTTTCCTCTCTCTCTTTTCTCAATCTTTTTTCTCTTTCCTCTCCCCCTCTTTCTTTCTCTCTTT